ATTCAGAAAAAAAATGTGTATGTGTATGAAATCATCAATGCATGCATTGTATCTAACCCCCAGCTTGCTCTCCTTAACCATGGGTCCAGGCAGAAAATCAGAGAGTACCCTTACTCCTACTCAACTTTCAACACAGAGAGTGATCGAGTTTTGTCTGATGATGAGGTTCTAAATGAAGAAGATGGGCGGGCCAAGCCCACCAGCCAAAGATGATGATAATTAGGTGTAGTAGCGGATTAGACAATATGTCTGATTCATTTAAAGTGATTCTGTGAAACATAGTTTGAGTCGTCATGACATTCACAAACTATAAATTATTCAGCTATAGTTAGTGTAGCAGGCTTTCTCATGCAGATTCATACATTTTTTTCAAGCAAGTTTTACTATTTATTTATTGAAAATCAAAATGAAGCCAATTCATTCAAGACTTTTCAGTTTTGTTTACAAATGCTATAGTGGAATGTTTTATTGGCATTGATAAAACAACATTGTAGCAGAATTCTTTTGAGGCATTTATGTTTTTATATTAACTTTAAAACTGTATTACCATATTGTATTTATTTATTGATGTGAATATTGTGAATAATAATATTGCAAGGTCATTTATACTTTATAACATTCCATTGACAGCAGTTGTATAGCTGAAAGTAATTTGCTTAAGAGTATTGTAGCAAGAAAAGATTAGACATGGTAGAAAAGTATTGAGAATGTTTACATGTGATCAGACCTTACACAGCATCAAACAGCAAAATGGTGGTGCACCACTATTAATTGCAAAATTGAGCTAAGTAAAGTTCATGACCATTAGATTTTATTTTACAATTCCTTTATTCAGCTTTCAAATTCATAGACTTGGTTCTCAAAAACGTCTCTTATGATTTTCCTAGAAATTTGATGGATAATGTATATCTTTGGGAAAAGAATTATTAGCTATTTTGCCACACTGGGAAAACTCTAGTGTGACTGTTTTAATTTTTCAAAGTGTAAACAAAAATTAATTTGAATTTGTCTAGAGGATTAGAAAATCTTTATCTTCAATAGACTACATCTTCGCGTATTTTGAAATTCATTAGGGAGTTTAATAAATTAATAGAAGAAGAACATTTGCACATATTATTCTAAGGCTAGATCTATAGGCTTTTTGTTACAATACTCTGACCCTGTGTAGATTTATACATATGCCTTAACCAGGATTTCTTTTTGTTTGGAGTGGGAATTGGGGCAGGGCAGAAAATATCCTTTCTTTTTAAATCTATCACTCATTAGTTATTAAGAGTAAATAGGCATTTGTGTCCTAAGGTGGGTAATTGTCTTTTTTTTGTTTTAAAGTATTTTAAAAATATTTTACTTGTTTTGTGTGCACTCTTTTTGTTTTCTTTCTGAGTCTGAATCTTGTAAGTTTATCTCTGCTCTCAAGAATGCTGGTTAACACTTGAGGTCTAGATCTCTAGTCTCTTGTTCTATTTGTGTGGCCAAACCCATGACACCTGCTCATGTTTATAATTTATCTCTTTTGATGAAGCATTAGTTGAGAAATATCTTTGTTTTCACTTAGTCATTAATCTTAATAGCTGTTGACACCTTTCTTGTAGCAATTCTAATTGAATTTATTTTCCTTATTTGGAGAAAAAATCATTATGGTTGGCACAATTTATGTTTAAATAGTCAATGTCATCCTTTTTAAGAGTTTCAAAAATGTTACTTTTAATTTATTAAAACATTCCACTCAGTCTCAATGTTATAAAATTCTCTTTGTCAATTTTGATTTTTTTTTCATATCTTTTTCATCATTTGAAAAATGTAGTGCATTACATTTAACTTCTTGTTTTGTTGACTAAGATTTTTAGCTTCATTTTTTTATTAAGCTCAAAATTAGTGTTTCTTTTACAAAACAGTTAAACTCATAAACAGATCACTAAATATTCAGGTATTTTATTTCTACTCTATGGCTTCACTATTTTACAAGTATTAAAGGGATTTTTAGTTGTTTTTTTTTTATTACTGCATTGTAATTTGTTTATACAGTCCACATACTTTCTAGCTATACTTTTTGTTTGTTTATGTTTAATTAGATATTTTATTGATTATATTGGGTACACAACTGGGTTATGATTGATAGCATTTATAGCAAGACCCTAAATGTGATAAGGGCCCAAAAAGATGATTCTTTATAGCTTCAATAATATTTGACCAGTATTAGAGGGATTAGGGTTTGTTGTATTATTTCTTCCTATCAAGTCTTGTTATACTGTTTTTATTTTTTAAATATCTTATGTAATTACATATTTAATTCATTTTTGGGTATATGTGATGTGGACTCATAAAGATGATATGGATTACTCATTTTTATTCTTGGCTCCTGGACCACACATTATCAAGATGGTATTAAGTAATGCTGGAAAATTTCTGACTTTGAATCCAATTCTAGCCTGCAGCCTTGGTTTGGCTTAGTAAATATATCAAGGATTTCATTTTTAACTCTTACTGTCCCGAAGGTACCAGGGTTGGACACTGATAAATTACTTGTGATCAGTTTATGAAGGGTTTTGTCAGAAGTACAGCACACTATGACAGTTGCGATCCCAACTTTCCCTATCCTTAACTATTATGAAACTCTCAATGTTAGTAAACCTATTGCTGGCATATTGTCCATTAGGTTTTGTGGTAGTACCTGAAGGATTTATATAGGGGTAAAAGATAAACTATCACATTTATTTTGGATAATCTTTTTCTATTGTAGATCCATTGTATAAACAGAAAAAGATACTTAGTGTTTCTTCTCCTATTAAAAAATATAAGCTATTTATTGTCATTGGAATATATTAATACCTATTTGCTATATTTGAGACATTTCGGTACATTAAATTATAGAGATTTAAAAATATTTTTTTCTCTCAAGAATTTTAGATATCTATATTAATTTTTTCCATTTATTAATATTATAAATTGGGATGTAGAAATATTTTGTTCATAGAAAGACAACCCTAAAAAGATTTTTAAAAAATAATTTTTTATATGTTGATTATTCCCTCTTTCATCCATGGTTATTGACAAACAAACAGAGTAGTATAGGTCTGGAAAATTATGTATGCACTTATATACATTTCAATCAACACTATTTAGGTCTTAAGATTGCTTTCTTCATAAACTCATTTAATATATGATATAATTGTGTCTGTATATTATAGGATATTGAAAAGTTAAAACTGGTGCATGTTGTATTAAGGAAGCTATTTCAGAATTACGCAGCTATCCAGCACCTTTAGATAGTACATTGTATGTATATAGTGACATGTTCATTGAACTGCACTAGCTTATTATTCTAAGCAGTAACATAGAAAAGCAAATAATTAAAAAAAAAGCTTGCAGATCTGCTACTGTAATTTAAATTTTTCTTTTATTTTCTTTTTGTCTCTAATCGCTTTTAGTCTTCAATGAAAAGTGCAATGAAAAAATTTGGTTTGGGGCAGGTCATATTGGATAGCCTATATTTGTATCTTTTGATGGCATTTTCTTTTTGAAAGCTGATTTTGTCTATCCTGATTGACTAATGAATGTAATGTAATTGTTCTGTTGTAGTTGGCAGTTCAGGCCAGGCTGGCACCAAAGTCTACAGTGCAAGAATATCACCCGCAATCTTTTAAAGACACAGATAAGCTAAGGGAGGTAGCTCTGGGTTAACATGCCATTGGTTTCTTTGTTATGGTTATACATATTGTTTATTTATACTATTTATATACATGGAAATAAAAAGCCACAACTAATTCTTTTTTTTTTTGCTAGTGGATGTGTATCAGTGACACAGTAGTGAGAATCAGTGGCATAGTGTGCCTTAGTGATACAGTAGTGAGAATCAGTGGCATAGTGTGCCTTAGTGATACAGTATTGAGAATCAGTGACATAGTGTGTCTTAGTGATACAATAGTGAGAATAAGTGTCTTAGTGATACAGTAGTATCAGTGACATTGTGTCTTAGTGATACAGTAGTAGTAGTAGTATCAGTGACATAGTGTGTCTTAGTGATACAGTAGTAGTAGTAGTATCAGTGACATAGTGTGTCTTAGTGATACAGTAGTAGTATCAGTGACATAGTGTGTCTTAGTGATACAGTAGGGGTATCAGCGACATAGCGTGTCAGTGATTCAGTACCAGTAGTATCAGTGACTTGTGTATTAGTTATACAGTAGTGTGTGCCAGTGACAGCGTATCAGTGACATAGTAGTGTCTATCAGTGAGATACTGTGTATTAGTGATACAGTAGTGTTTATTAGTGACATAATGGTGTGTATGAGTGACATTGTCTATTAGTGATACATTAGTGTGTATTAGAGAAACACTCGTGCATAAGTGACATAGCCGTGTACCAGTGACCTAGTAGTGTGCATTAATGGCACAGTAATGTATATGAATTACCTAGTTGTTGTTTGGGTTGTTTATTTAGAATGATTCAATGTTTAGTATTTGTATAAACTGCACCAGTCCATTAGGCCTAAGGGTCTTTGGCCTATTTGTTTGAAACTAAAACATCTATTATTATCTCTAAAACCACAAATCTTTGTTGTCACTTTAACAGACGAATGATTTAAATAGGAGAAGCTTGCCAGAATGGACTGCAATAAAAAGCTTAACAGCGCAATGGACAGAACAAGGTGAAAGAGAGAAAGTAACAAAGAGAGAGATTGAAAAGTTGTGAAAGAAAGAAATGGGCCTGGTAAAGTAAAGAAGTGTCCGGAGAAAGGTAGCGAGGGACAGTAACATAAAAAGAAAGAAAACAAGGTTACAAAGACAGTTTGTGTGGACACACAAACTTAATATAGGCCCCCGAAGTGGTCCTACTGGAGACATGGACAGATCTAGACATTGGTAGAGGATAGAACATATTAGGCTGTAAAAAAATATACTTAAAAAATAATCAAAAAATGCATACCTATCTATTTTACAGGATGAGACTCACAAAAAGATGTAGAAATATTTAACTAAAAAAAAAATAAATTAAAAAATGACTTCATCTGGGTATCGAAACCAGTATCTTCAGCGTGTCTGGCAGATGTGATAACCACTACACTACAGAAACCCATCATTAGTTGTACAATATATTTGAAATCTTACTTTATGCTTTCAGTTTGATACAAACTAGATATAGATCTAGACCTAGTTTTAGATCTAAATCTAGATTCATATATATATATATAGGCTATATATCATAATATATGTGATATAAGATTAAGTCTTAGTTAGTAAGCCTAGATCTAGAAATAGATCTAAGACTCTAAGTCTATTCTATATCTACGTCTAAATCTAGAATCTTGATATAGAATTTACTATATCTAGAGACTAGAACTCGTATCTAGATCTGGCCTCTATTTATTGTAATTTAGATTCAGATTGTTAAGATCAAGTGTATAGCCTAATGAGGATATGTGAAAACTGCGCGGTAAAAAGTAGTTTTTTTTTGAAACGAAGTTTGTATCAACATTCTTTTTTAAAAACAACATTTGAATCAGTATTCTATTCCACGAGTTAGTTAAAAAATGGAAAATCTATTTTATAGTGATCCATTGATACTTTTTCCATTGTAACCTTAGATGTTTTGTACCAATGCGCGAATCTATGAATGAAGTTGTTTTATTAATGAAAAAGCTTGTGAACTTTTTAATAACACTTATTTCCCCTGATGTTTTTCATTGAAAAGTGGCGTAATTTTTTTTAAAAATCTGCTTGCATATATAATTTTAAAAATTAGATGGTTCACTTTTGGAAAAGTAAAAAGTAGCTGTTGCGTCAGAATTTTGAATGGTCTAAAATATCATGATGTCAATTTTCATTTTCTCTTCCAGTTTCTGAGATCTAAACGGGACGGACGGACAGACAGGCCAAACAAAACTTATAGCCTCTTTTCCGTATTCGGGGACCGCTTTAAAAAAAAAGAATATATCGACAGAGAAATGTAGGTAAATGAAAAGAAACGAAACTAAGAGAAAGGGAGAAATAGTCAAATAGAGGAGACACAGGAGTTTAGACAGAAAGAGAGAGATCTAGAAGCGCAAGAGTTGGCAAGTGAGTGAGAGAGAGAGAGAAGAAGATAGAGAGAATTAAAAAGGCCAATATATAAAATACTTTTTTAAAAAAGCTTATATTAAGTGTAGTTGTGTCAATTATTTTGACTCGTGTAACTAATCTGTAATAGTTCTAGAATAACATTTATAAATTTGTGTGATTGAAAATATTTTTACCAATTGTTTTTATTTGTTATAAGCGGAATGTCATGCCTTTAGCATAGGCCTACTCAATAAGCTATGGGCCAATCACTTGTGTTAGCCAGTCCAGTTGTGTGTGTGTGTGGGGGGGGGGGGAGTTCGGAAAAGATTTTCGTGCTGGATTTTCCAAAGCACTGTTTTTTTCAGTTGCTCGACTTGAATTCAAACTCGAGGACTCAAGCCTGCTTGATGGAAGGCCGACACGCTAGCCACTAAGCTATACAAGCGCTTATGAAAATAAACGGTTCCATAAATACCTATTGTTAGTTTTAAGTTTTTAGGCGACGATATAATTCTCAGCACAAGGTTTATCACCACTTAGCTAATACCGTCTCTATATAAAATAACATTAATAAATTACGATTAATTGATACAATAATTGGTCAATTTTTCGACTGACTCATGTATTGTTAGGGACAATAATATATTGTTGCAAAGTTTCAATTTGATCCTATAGTGGGAAGTGGAAGAACTAACGTGTGGTACCAGACAGACAGAAGGAGTGAGTTGATAGAAGCTTTGTAAACAAAACAACAAAAAAACAGTTTCAGTAGCAAGTGTAGATGTAGATTCAGTGATGCCCAACCTTATTCATCCTGCGGGCCATTTATATTTCCGACACTCGTGTCGCGGGCCACATGACCGATAAGGTACAAAAACGAAATGAAATTGACTTGAAACTATTTGATTAGAAGCTTACATTAATGATTAGACATTGGAAGTTTTTCCTTTTTTACGCCTCGGAAAGTGGCTTCATTTCTCTACTTAAAATGTGAGCAACATTGTCGCTAGTTTTACCACCAACTCATTTTCTTTTCTCTTTTTCATAAATTTCCCCATCAATCCTCCAATCTCTAGAAGTAGTTAAACAATCTTTTATTTGCGGCTCATACCAAGAGTGCCGTCACATTTGTTCATAATACTGCTATACATGTGGTTGTTTTTTTAAACAGCCACATTTTATTTACATATCAAATATGTTGGCATATTATCATGTTTCAATAGCAAAGATCCGTTCACTTTTGCTGGTAAATTCTACATTTAGAGTCCCGTTTCGTAAACGAAAAATGATAAAGGTTATGTTACAAACCGATCAGAGAAAAGTGAGAGCCCTAACATTTGTAAAAATATATTTTCCAACTTTTTTTTGATGAAGGGGGATTGTCTACAATTTGTGCTGACGTTTCAGCGGGCCGGATAGAACCACGTCGCGGGCCAGATCCCGTACTTTGGGCACCACTGATGTAGATTATGCGAAATACCAAACACGGTATAAAAAAAGTAATAACTACGCCCCTAGAGTTCGAAACTCTATCACGTATCATACAATGTACACACTTCATAATAATGCAACTGAAAGTTATTACTTCAAATTGGTGCGTCAAAGATCCTCACATTTCATTCAAAACTTTTTTTTTCCCTTCTGCTATTTTGGGTGCAACCCCCAACCCTCATCGCCCCCCACCTTCTTCCCTCAAAACTAATTCCATGATTAATTACTCCACTCACCGCCTCTAGGAGTTAGCAACAGCCACACTTTAGGGGATCAAGTGAAAAGAAACATAATGAGCAGACGTACGTGGCTAGCTCTTTTTAATTTACTTCCTGTTGCCTATTTGGCAGTCTGGCTTAGTCCAAACATAAACAATTCATTTAATACTTCACGTGATTGAACCTTGAACTTGCTTTGTGGGGAAAGGGGCGGGGTTTTTGTGGACTATCATTGACATTTCCACAACCGCGACTATCTCTAAAAGCGAGAGGGCACTGGTATGTCTTCAACTCAGGAGAGAGCCAACAGGAAGGTGATTGAATAGCTGGTATATCTTACCTCTGTGTGGTGATATAACCAGGTCTGGCCCCTTAAGTCATGTCACTGATAACAGCTGTCTTCTGGTGCTTAAGTCGTGTGTCCATACATAGTGAATACCGTTGGAATGGCGTCTTTCAATATGGGTAAGTTCTTCACGTAAAACACTTTTTCCTTTTCTATCTATCTATCTATCTATCTATCTATCTATCTATCTATCTATCTATCTATCTATCTATCTATCTGTCTGTCTGTCTGTCTGTCTGTCTGTCTGTCTGTCTGTCTATCTATCTATCTATCTATCTATCTATTCTACATATATATATATATATATATATATATATATATAGGCCTATCTATATATATTTCATTTGTAATTTATAAACTTGATTTAGGATTCCAGAAGGCTGTGAGCAACACAAAGATTACTGCAAATAGCTAATGTAATATCACATGTAATCACTAATGGACCTCATTCACCAACCGTAAACAAACATTTAGCCACTTGGTGCTCTATCTCTTCTATATAATTTACGATCTCATGTTTAATTCATGATGGTTGTCAAGTGACAGTTTTTTTCGTTGTTTTATCAATAAGATCACGTGACTAAGTGTTGCTTGTTTACGATTGGTGAATGAGGTCCATAAAACACTAATTTCAACTGAAGCCTTTAAAAAAATGCCTTCTGTCCGTCAATCTGTCCCTACGAGGGCCGATAAAAATAAACTCCTTTTTTTCGCAAATTTCTACAGGATTTCGATGTCAGAATAATAGATTCTAAATTTCGCAACACAGATTTAATAGAATTTGAAAACCTATTCTATTCTCTTTCGAATCTACTTGAACTGTCATATCTACATTCAGACAACTACACGTGACCCTTACACCAGTCTTCCCTTCCTGTCCAAGCAGAAACTGTTATACTTTCACAATACAATAAAAATACTGTTGTTTAAAAGTTACACTCCATTTTTATTAAGTAGAACAAGTGTAGAGAATCAAACAGGAGAGTCTAATACATACTAATGACACACTTAAAGAAAACCGTGAACACGTGAACATACTGAACAGTAGAAGAAGGGAGACAACAACAAAACGAACACACACACACAACATAACATAAATACACATACAAATGTAACATCCTCCGATGTTTGAGGTTAGTCATATACAAAGTCACAAGTTCTAGTGGATTTGGCCACTCGGCCTGACCTAGTTGTATAGGTTGTCGGTCCATGTGACTGGTCTTGTAAAAGGCCCTCAGGTCTCTGAGCCGTACCTTCATCTGTACTGGGTGCATCCACAGGTGCGGGATTATCAGGCTCGGCCGTACCTATTGGTGTGGGCGCATTCGTATCAGCAGGCGGTGGGATTCTTCGTAAGTGAATTCTATTTCGGCGATAAACTCCTCCGCCTGATTCAACTTCATACGACCGTTGTTGTAACTGACTCCCTTTTGCCAGCGCTCATGGCCCCCGCGACCTTGACCTTAGTCTCACCTCTTCGCCTTAGCAAGGGGAGGTAAATCTTTAGCATGGGAGTTGTAGTAAATCGCTGAGCTCCTCTGGTTTTCTTTCAGCGCTTTTCTGTGTTTCTGGGGATCCAGAACTTGAGGTTACAACAGGCTTTTAGCTATAGGTAGCAAGGTTCTGATTCTCCTGTTGACTCATTGAGAGATAAAGGTAATAGACTCTCCATTGACTCATTGAGAGATAAAGGTAATAGACTCTCCATTGACAGAGAGGTAATAGACTCTCCATTGACTCATTGACAAATAAAGGTATTCTCATTACTAAGTATAATGTAAAGAGAAGAATCTATGCGTATGTTTGCGAGAGTGTTGAACTACCGATACTGAAAAAAAAAAGTCACTTCTCCTTGATAAATACGAGACTAGTTATAGTAGTTCTACAGCCTTTGATTTATCAAAGTCAACAATTAACATTGTAATTGTTTCCTCTCATTTTCAATGCTTTGTCCTCCTTTGTGCTATCATTTGGGCGTGTA